ATTCTCATCTGAATCTTAAGGGGGATGCTTCCAGATATGCCCCTACACATCGCTGTTCGGTTGCTTTGCCGGGATAATTTTGTTCAAGCAGTGGTGTCGCGCATTGTCGCGCCACTGATGTGCTCGTGTTCCCTATCGTCGGCGCGCCCGCTATTTTGGCTTTTGGCGCGTGCCAGGTCGGGGCCGTGCCCGACACCTACTTGCATCGTCGCGCTCTTGACTAGTGCCGGAAGGGGGGGTGCCTGGAGGTCACCAGGACCGTCGTGCTCTGACAGCCGGGGCGCTAGTCACCACCGCGGACGACACGTACCGACGCGGCCTGGAGGCAAAGATCCCCCAGCAGGGTGATGCGCTGCTCACTGTCGTTTTATTGCTGCGCGCTCTCGTCCCTGGGCTCCAGTTTGCCATCGCCGCCGTCGTCGTCGCTGTAGCCGGTCGTTCGGGCAATTCCCCTTTGGCCTGGTCTGGGCACGGCGGCCTCGCCCCTTGGTGGTCTAAGTGCAATTCTCACTGTCTTCGTCTCCGTCTGCCCAGATGCCCACGGCCGTCCTGGGAGTGCGCCCCCTCGGTGCTCATGTACATTGGGATTGTCGGTGGTGCCAGACATCGTAGCCAGAGCAGACCTGGCCTCGTGCTTATCCTGTTGCCGAGGTCCGCCTCCGTACTTCACCCCGCGCCATTTCGTGGGTCTTGGCGATGCCCTGGCCCGTTTCCCTTGTCCACGTGGCCCTTGTGTGCTCGTCTTGGCTGGCGCTCGCGGCCCGCGGCGGTGGCCCCGTGGCCCGGGAGCCTGTCGTTGGCTCCCAGCCCGTGCTTCCCTGGGTGGTCCGCCGCCGCCCTGCGCGAGGGCCCTGCTGCCCCCAACTGCGGACCGGAAGCTCGCCGCCGCTCCGCGGTCCCTGCGCTCCGTGGCCCGCGGTCTGACGCCTCTTCTGGTTTCGCGACAGTCGGGCCTCCCTGCCCATGCCGATCATTTTTCCTGGCCTCATCGCGCCCGCATGCGGCGCGTCGTTCCCTGTCCGTCGCCGGGCTGAGCAGCGCGACGCGCGGGGAGTCGCGACGACGCTGGCGACGAGGTCGCCGCCCCTGCAGCAGTCCTGATCGTTCTCTTGGCATCGGTCGGACGCGTGCCGTCTTCCCCGGCGAGGACCATCAAGAAGCATCCTGGATCATTTTGGCGCGCGAAGCGATACATGCAGAGGGATTGGACGTCCGAGCGAGGGCAAGTTCTGCGCGATGACGAAGGGCGCCTTCACTGCGGGGGGCTCAGGGCCCAGGCGCGCGCTGCGCGCGTGGCCAGCCCGATGCTGTCGCTGCCGTGGCACGACGCCGGCCGCATCGGAACCCGTGGTGAAGATCGCCGCGGGCCTTGGAGACCCAGACATGCTCGCGTCCTTCAATCATTAGGACGGAGGTTTATGGTAATTTTCGGTCTCTGGGGGCCCTCGCTGGGCCCCCAAAGCCTGTCAAGAAAGGGTCCAGGATGAAAACCTGGCCCCGGGGAGAGGGTCGAGGCGGGGGGCCGCGCATGAAAGAATCAGAACGTCGCGTGTCTGGGGACGGGGCTGGCAAGGCTCAGCCTTGCGAAGGCCCTGTGGCGAAGTGCAGCCCGGCGGCGGGCGGCAGTCGCGCCCCGCCCTGGCGCTCCCGTGAAAGCAGCGGGCGTGTCCAGTCGCGCAGCCGCCCCCGCCCGCGCCGAGGCCGGGGCCAGAGTCTCGCTGTCGGGAGTTTGATCAGGGGCGTCGTTCCAAACTCGGGCGGCTCTGATCGACCATGTGGCGGCGCCCCGGGTCCTCGAGGAGATGTTGCCCGCGACGATGTGGACTTACCTGCCGCGGGGGCCTGGGCGCCCAGGGTCGCCGCCACGCTGGCAGCGACGAGGCGCCTCGCCACTCAGCTCACCTGCGGCTCGGCCCGCAGCTGGCCGAGCGAAGCGGGGCCGAGCTCCGCGCCGTGGCCGCTTGCCTGGACCTGCCCCTGAATGGGGGCATCGCGTACTTCCTCGACCTCTTGTCGCAGCAGTTCAAGGCGCTGCTGCTCAGCACTGGGCTCGCCCACAGGGAGGTCTGGGCTGCTGCTCAGCGCTGCAATCCTCTATGCGACACGCTGGTGTCGGCCATGGGGGAGGGCGACGAGCGGTGGGAGCTCTTTCTCCCGCGCCGGGCAGCAGGAGTTGAAGCGCGCGGTTGCCAAGATGAAAATCATGAGCAGTCGTGGTCAGCCACCGCGCGGCGCCACTCGCAAGGGGTTCAGCGGGGGCCGACTTTCGGATCTGCTCCGCCATGCGGCCATTTCTGCCGCGTGATGCTTCGCCCCCCCCCCCCCCCCTCGAGGTCCGAGCTCTGGCCCGCAGGGTTCAGATGGGCGGGCCAGTTTGGTCGAATCCGATGCTTCGAGAGGCGCTGCGAAGGGCGCCAGGCTTGCTCCGTGTTGTTGTGGTTTGAAGGAACAACAAGACACCTGGTCGAAGCGCTGCTTGCACTGAAAGTTCGGCGGGTTCGGAAGGGCCTCGCTGTTCCGCAACCCCTTTCATTTTTATTGTTTGTCTCGAGCAGATGGGTCTTTTGGGGCCAAGAGGGACTTCGTTTTCATTGTGTGACCCGGGCAGTCGCTTGACATTGTTGGGCGTGGTAGGGCCACGCCCATGTAAATAGGGCCCGGCATGGTTTGCGATGGGATTCCGCCTTCTGTGGTGGGGCCTGCGATCTTCTTTGGATGTTCGCGGTGCGCGGTGAATCCCAGGGCACTGGCAATCGATAGTGCGCCATCGTGGCTTGCATCGAAGGTTGCGCACTCGGATGCGACTTTCGACGCTGCGCGCCTGTTGCTTTGTGCATTGCGACATAGGTTGCACGATCGGCCGCCGGGCCTGCAAACGACTCGCAGTGGGTTGCGCGGGGCAAGGGGCTCAGGACACTTCGCGGCCTGGCGCAAGGCTGGAAGAGCAAGGGCGCTCCTGGCACTCCTCCTTGGCGGCGCGCCGAGGGCGGAAAAGAGAGGGGGCATGCTGTTTTTTTGGGGCTTCAGAAGGTGGCGAGGCCTTGGAGAAGGCGTAGAAAGCTTGAAAGCGTGCCAGAAGGTCAATGCACCCGGCCCCAGGACGTCAACAGAACGATCCGATGTGCAAAACAGGCCCAGGGGAATGGATCTTGACATCTGAAAGAGCGCGTGCTGTGGTCGCTTGGAGGAGTGGGTGGGTGGAACCAGACCCCCCCCCTGGCAGGAGGGGGGGGGTGTTCGACCCCCCCCCCTCCCGTGACGGAAGGGGGGGTGGTCCGAACCCCCCCCTTCTTGGTGGCGGCGGCGGCTGGCGGCGGCGGCGGGGGCGACGATTTCCTTTTCTGGGCCGGCGCCGGCGCTTGCGGGGCGGCGGGGAGCGTCGACGAGGACGACGGTGGTGGTGGTGGTGGTGGTGGGTGGTGGTTGTGGTGGTGGCGGTGGTGGTGGTTGTGGTGGTGGTGGTGGGGTAGTTTGTTGTTGTGATGGTGTGGTTGTGGTGGTGGGTGGTGGTGGTGGTGATGGTGTGGGTGGTGGTGTGGTGGTGGTTTGTGGTGGTGGTGGTGGAGGTGGTGGGTTGTGGGGTGGTGGTGGTTTAGTGGTGGTGTGGTGGTGGTTTGGCCGTGGTGGTGGTGGTGGTGGTGGTGGTGGTGGTGTGGTGGTTTGTGGTGGTGGTGGTGGTGGGTTGTGGTGCTGGTAGTGGTGGTGGTTGTGGCGGTGTTGGTGGTGGTGTCATCGATTGTGGTGGTGTTGGTGGTCGTGGTCGTGTTTTTTTTTGTGGTGGTGGTGCTGGTGAGTTGTGGTGGTGGTGGTTGTGGTAGTGTTGGTGGCTGTGGTGGTGGTGGTGGTGGTTGTGTGGCGGCTTGGTGGTGGTGGTGGTGGGTTGCGGCGGTGGTGGTGGTGGTAGTGGTGGTGGTGGTAGTGGTGGTAATCGTCGCTGCGTCCCCGCCGTCGCTGGCGCCAGCGCTGGCGTTGGTGGCCGCCGCCGGCGCCGGCGCCAAGGGGGGGGGGGCTTGAACCCCCCGTTTGGGCTGCCTCTCGTCATCGTCGCTGCGTCCCCGCCGTCGGCGCTGCTGGCGGCCGCCAGCGCCAGCGCCAGAGCCGGCGGGAAGGGGGAGGCCGGGGGGGGGTTGGGAGGGCGGGGTTTGGGGGGGAGGGGGGTCCCCCTGGTTTTGGTCGACGGCGCCGAGTGTTGGGGGGGTCCCCCCCCTGGTTCGAAACGCGCCGCCGAATGTTCCCAAGGCAAGCGCTCGTGAAACGCGCTCTCTCAGACATCTGGGTTCACGGTGTCAGAACATCGCGGAGGTTGAGTAGGAAATGGAGGGGGGTGAGGTTGGAGGGGGAATGGGAGGGCGGACGGTCATGCATGTGGGAAGTGGAAAAAGAAACGGCAGGGAGGGGATGATCGAGAGGTTGGGAAGGATATTGGAGGTTTGGAGGAACGTGAAGGTCGACGGAACGAGGTGGGAGGGAGTTGAGAGGAGGGGGCGTGGAGGAGTAAACGTGAGAGAAGGGGAAGGTAACACATGAAATGGATGGGGGAAGTCAGATTGTTGATGCGACTTGCTGATGCCGTTGGGTCATTCGGTGGGTTTTGCTCGGTTGTTTTTGTTGACGACGTACTGCGTGCGTACCACTGCCACCAACAAAAATGGCCCAACACGCACCAAGAACGTCAACCGCAAATCAGTTCAGCTGTGGCTCGCACCTCGTTTTTTTTGTTATTATGTGTTTTTGCATTTCGTCGTCATGGATCTCCACTGGTCCTGCCTCTCAGTACGTATTTTGATGCACATTCTGTTGGTGCAATGCGTGGCGCCACGCCCATGTTCATGCCATGAGCTGCAAGTGGTTGCTCTGGAATACACTTGCATGCTGCGTGCAGGGCCGTCTGTATTTGCGCAGTTGCTGCATTGCAGAGCTGGTGTTTTCAGTGTGCTTTTGTCAGGATTCGCCACTCGCGTGTTGGTATGTGCTTGCGGTGAGATCCTATTCAAGTGTACATGCGTGCCGCAGTCTGCCAGCAGCGTACGTCTTCTTCAGGATGCTCGGCGCTGTTTCCCCGCTATCGTCGACATTTCTCGCTCGCCCCCTTCGGCATCGACCAGGTTTGGGACCTTACCGACACGGCGGTGTCCGCCGGGGATCCGTCCGTGGTGGGCGGCGTCCACATGTCGTTCAGCTATGACCGCGTGTTCGGGCCCGAGGCCACCCAGGAAGAGGTCTACCGCGAGGTCGAGCCAGCCATCCAGGAGGTGCCTCTCGCCTGCCGTGCTCTTCGGGACGCCCTCCCAGCAAAACTCTGCGCCCACGTGCGAGCCCTACCCCCTGTAGGTCCAATCGACGCTGGGGCATCGGACGCCCCCGCTGGGGCTCGGCTGGCTGCAGGCATCCTTCGAATGCTGAGCTGGAGCCGCTTTTTTAGAAATCTGACCTGCAGGGGCAGGGTTCACATCCTCTCGGCCCTGGACACGGTTACATCAGTCCACCTGTGCCGATCGCAGTTTATTGCCACAAGGGCTGTGGTCGGGTCATCCGTTCTACCTTTTCGAACCGGGACCGGTTTGCGGGGACCCAACGAGGGAGTTGGGGTCGGGACCCCGAACGATACCCCAGCATTTCCTCCTTGATCGGCAGCGCATCGGCTGACCTGGCAAGATGCGGACATACGGCAAGACATGCTGTTTGGGTAAGACATGTTTTTCGGCAATATCCCAGGAAGACATGCTGTTCGGGCGATGATCTTGGACTCCTCCCGTATTCTGAGCGAATGGATCAAAGCTCTCGGAGGAGGGGCGCATCGACCAACCCCACGAAGTTCGCCAGCTCAGGGGCGGAGTGAGGAGGACGATGAATGAGGAATTTGGGAGTCAGGGGGGAGGAGGAGGGAGAGATGGGGGGAGGACGAGGAGGAGGAGGAGGAGGAGGAGGAGGAGGAGAAGGAGGTGGAGGAGGAGGAGGAGGGAGAGGAGCAGGACACGCCTCCGACGTTCGTTGGTTCATGATTTTCGATGTCCATCGCATGTCTTCTGCAGGCACGCCATTCTGAGGCGCCCTGGCGCACTCTGTGCATGATGGCAGTCTGTAGTTGCCATCCTCGAACGGGCTGCTTGATAATACCCCTCCCAGTGTGGGGGACCTCACCTCGATGAGCAAGGCGAGGCAGCGCAAAGCAAGGCAGACCAGGGGAAACGACAGCAGAGCAAAAGAAGACGAATGCTGCAAACCTGCCCAGCACAATGCGACGCAGTACAGCGCCAATCCGTCCAAGCTGAAGCAGAGCAATTCAGACCCATGCAACGCAATGCAGATGCAGTGCGCACGCAATGCAGATGCAATGCGCACGCAATGCAACGCAACCTAACGCACGCTACACATCGGAGAGCAGTGAAAGAGGAAACGCAGGGCGTTGCAGCGCAGCGCAGAGCAAGGCAGTGCGAAGCAACGCCTCACCGTGCGACGGCCCGTTCCCCTCGCGTCCATCCCGATTCTGCCCCAAGTTTTCCAAGACGTTGTATGTCTGGGGATCACTTCCGCCCTCTTCTGCCTCCCGCCTGCCTGCGTACAAATCGCCTAGCAGCGCCTCCGCGTAGACTGCGGATGCGGCACGCGTTCGCCTCCAGTGTTGCTAAGAGAGTCTTGGGGCTTCCTCCTCCTCCTCCTCCTCCTCCTCCTCCTCCTCTCGCCTCCTCCTCTGGCGATCTCCTCTCGTCTTCCTCCTCCTCCCTCCCTCCTCCCTTCCCCCTCCCTCCCTCCTCTCCCCCCCTCCCTCTTCCCTCCTCCTCCCCCTCCGCGGCCAGGTGCTCGGGGGCGTGAACGCCGCGGTGCTCTGCTACGGCCAGACCTCCGCGGGGAAGACGTTCACGATGGAGGGCCTGGAGGGCGCGGGCTGCGGGGAGGCTCCGCCCCGCGGCGCCCGATGCCTGCGCGCGCGCAGCGGGCTCGCAGGGGGTCGCCGGAAAAGCGCACGAGAGCTGGAAGAGCCTCGGTTCCTGATCGAGGAGGAGGACGGGGAATCGAGGAAGAGGAGGAGGAGGAGGAGGAGGAGGAGGAGGAGGAGGAGGAGGAGGAGGAGGGAGCAGGAGGAGGAGGAGGAGGAGGAGGAGGAGGAGGAGTAATGACTACAAAGGAGAGGAACCAGGCTGGAGGAGAAGGATGATGATGCAGGAGGAGGAGGAGGAGGAGGAGGAGGAGGAGGAGGAGGAGGAGGATCGACGAGGCTGGATGATGATGCTGCTGATGATGATGCTGATGATGATGTTGACGATGCTGATGGCGATGCTGATGGCGATGCTGATGATGAGGACGGTGTTGATGATGATGGCGATGCTGCTGATTCTGATGATGATGCTGCTTCTGCTGATGATGATGCGGATTATGCGGATGGTAATGGTGATGCTGCTGATGATGCTGTTTATCATGACTATGATGATGCTGCTGATGCTGATGATGCTGTTGCTGATGATTATGATGATGCTTATGCTGACGATGGTGATGATGCTAATGATCATGCTGATGCTGCTGCTGCTGATGATGATGATGCTGCTCCTGTTGATGATCATGATGCTAATGATGGTGACGATGCTGACGCTGATGATGCTGCTGATGCTGGTGATGCTGATGGTGCTGCTGCTGATGATGATCATGTTGTTATGATGCTGCTGATGATGATGATGATGATGATGATGGTGATGCTGCCGATGACGATGATGACGATGCTGCTGATGCTGATGCTGCTGATGATGATGCTGATGAGGATGCTGATGATGGTACTTCTGATGCTAATGATGACGATGCTGATGCGAAGGACGATGAATCGTGATGCTGATGCTGGTGATGATGCTGATGATGCTGCTGATGTTGATGAATATGATGATGCTGATGATGATGATGCTGATGATGCTGATGGTGATGATGATGGTGATGAGGCTGATGATGCTGATGACGACGATGATGCTGCTGATGATGGTGATGATGATGAGGAGGAGGGTGCTGATGATGCTGCTGCTGATGATGATGGAGGAGGAGGGGAACGAGGAGGAGGGTGAGGAGGGTCGGAGACGGAGGAAGATCGAAGAGGCTGGACGCTGATGATGATATTGCTGCTGATGATGCTGCTGATCACGATGCTGCTGACGATGATGACCGTGATGACGATGCTGCTGCTGATGATGATGCTGATGCTGGTGGTGATGGTGATGATGCTGCTGCTGTTGATGATCATGATGCGGATGATGGTGACGATGATGCCGCTGATTATGATGACGATGATGAAGGTGATGATGCTGATAATGATGATCTGATGATGATGATGATGATGGCGATGATGGCACGATGATGATAGCGATGCTGATGACGATTACGACGAGTTGATGACGATCATGATCATGCTGCTGATGCTGATGATGATGATGCTAATGATGATGATGATGCTGCTGCTGATGATGATGATGATGATGATGATGCTGTTGTTGATGATGATGCTGATGATGCGGATGGTGGTCCTGATGCTGCTGCTGATGATGCTGTTGATGATGCTGCTGATGATGTTTCTGATGCTGCTGCTGAGGAGGAGGAGGAGGAGGATGCTGATGTTGCTGCTGATGATGATGGTGGAGGAGGGGAAAGAGGAGGAGAAGGAGGAGGAAGACACGGGGGTACGATCGAGAAGATGCCTGCGACGGGGGAGAAAAATCCCCCTCCCCCTCCTCGATCCTCCTCGTTCTGCCCCATATCTTCCTCCTTCTCCTCCTCCTGCACCTCCCTTTCATTTCTCATGGTTCCTGCATCCCCCTCCGCCTCTTCTGTCCTCCGCCTCCTCCGTGCCCCCAGCGCTCCCCCTTGGCGGAAACGACGCAGGAAGCGCCCCAAGGGCTGGCCTCTGTCCGTTTCGCCTGTTCTCTCATCGGCGAGATCTGCAGTCAGGGTGGTAATCCTCCTGCAGTCGTCCTCCTCGTCGTCCCTCTGCCCCTCTTCGATTTCTCTCCGATCCCCCCGCGATGCCCCTCGCGATCCCCCTCCTCCTCCTCCTCCTCCTCCTCCTCCTCCTCCTCTTCTCCTCTTCTCCTCCTCCTCCTCCTCCTCCTCCTCCCGGGCCCCGATCCCTGCGATCCTCCACCCCGCCAGCCCCGGGCAGGAGCTGCGCGGCATCGCCCAGCGGGCCTTCGCCACCCTCTTCGACGGCGCCGGGGCAGGCCCCGCTCCCCGGGTGCCGCTCCCCAGGGCGTCGTTGCCGGCGTCGTCGGCGGCGTCGTCGTCGTCGTCGTCGTGGCCGTGGCCGCAGCCGTCGTCGTCGGTGTCGTCGGCGAGGTCGTGGCAGTGGTGACGGTCGTCGTCGGCGGCCGTGTGGTCGGCGTCGGCGTCGTCGTCGGCGGCGTCGTCGGCGGCGTCGTTGTCGGCGGCGACGTCGTTGTCGGTGGCATTTCCATTATTGTCGTCGTCGTCGTCGTCGTCGTCGTCGTCGTCGTCGTAGTCGTAGTCGCAGTCGCAGTCGTCGGCGCCGTCGTCGGCGCCGTCGTCTGCGTCGACACTGGCGGAAGGAGGAGTAGGATGAGGGGAGAGTGGGAGTGAAGGGGCGGAGGAAGAAGAGGGTTGCCATGGAGAGGGAGGAGAAGGAGGATGAGGAGGAAGGAGGAAGAAGGAGGAAGGGTAGGCAGGAACATGTAGAAGTCGAGTTAGCCAGGTCGAACGCGTCAGTGGGCCCCGCCCCTTCCCACCCTCTCGCCCATATAACAATCAGTTCTGGCGCGCGTCCCCACCCAGCGATCGGAAGGCGCTCGCGCGCGATCCCGCTTCCGACGACTTGGCGTGACAGCTGCGCGGGCCGCGCAGGGCGGGAGCGCAACTTCAGAACATCCTTGCGCGGCGCATCGGCGAGGCAGGCTATTCGAGCCTCTCTCTCTCTCTCGGGCGGGCACGGAGCGAGATAATAGCTGCTCCAGCCCCTCTCGGGCGGGCACGCGGCGAGATGGACTGTCCAGCCCCTCTCTCTCTTGGGCGGGCACGAAGCGAGATGCGGGCACGAGGCGAGATGCGCTGCGCAGCCCCTCTCGGGCGGGCAAACCTCTCCGCTGCGCGCGGCGACGGCGAGGCGTGCACACCGCGCATCGCCGCAGTGCTGCCGCTCCCCCGCGCGCCACCGGCGCGGCGCCCTGGGCGAGCGGGCGCGGCACGCCGCCCGCCCTCTCTCGGGCGAAGCCCCGCCGCCGCCGTCGCTCTCGCGCGCGGCGCGGTTCGGCGGCGAGCGAGGGGGGGAATTGAGAGGGAGAAGGCCTTCTCAGAAGGCGGCGGGACTTCTCAGAAGCCCTCGCGCCTTCTGAGAGGTTTTTTTGTTTGGCTTCGGGGAAGGCTCAGAAAACTTCTCAGGAGTCCGGGTGACTTCCGAGCCTTCTGAGAAGACGCGCCCCTCCTCCCTTCCCCCCCTGGCTCGCCGCCTAACGGTGGAGCGGAGCGTTCGCCGCACAGAGGCGGGGCCCCAACAGGGGCAAACCTCACAGACGCCCCCTAGCTTTGAGCGAGTCTTGGCGCTCTCTCGTCTCGTCGGCTTCTCCCGACGCTCCTGGAGAGCCCGAGGCGGCCCCCCCGGGAGCGACCGAGAGGCCTTCAGAGGGCCAGGCCGACCCGAGAGGGCCCCGAGACCGCCAAACAGGCCTCCAAGGCAGCGGGAGAGGCCCCCTAGACGGCTCCAAGAGGACCTGTGCACGAAGCGTGGGCGAGGGCGACGCGTCGGCCTTCCCCGGCGGGACCCCCCAAGCTTGGCGACTGAAGCATCTCCTCCCTCCTCCCTCCTCTTCCTCCTCCTCTTCCTCCTCCTCCTCCTCCTCCTCACTCCGCCTCCTTCTCCTCCTCCTCCTCCTCCTCCTCCTCCTCCTCCTCCTCACCCCTCCTCCTCCTCCTCCTCCTCCTCCCTCACTCCTCCTCCTCTTCCTCCTCCGAGCCGAGGCGGGAACGCCTCCTTCCAGGCGACGCCTGCGCGGCGCCGCGGCGAGAGCGGCACGTTCGCCCACTCGGGCGGCGACGAGTTGGCGAGCGAGAGTTGTGCGCCGCGCCCACCCGCGCCCATGCCGAAGGCGACCGGCCATTCCAGCGGCCGTGGAGCGGGCGACGCGCGTGCGATCCGCCCCGTGGGTGTCCGCCGCGCTGGCGACGCACTCACCAAATTGCCCCCCTGCGAGGGCGACGTGCACGTGCGAGTGGACGGCTGGCCTTTTCGGCGGCCGACGCACGGGCGGCGCACGGGCGACGAATGCGCGACGCACCTCTTGTCGCGAAGGGGGGCGGGGGGTCAGCACGCCGGTCGTCTTACTGGGCCTTAACTAACACCCACGCGGGAGCTCTCGGGAGCAAGTGGCGCGGCGCCGTGGCGAGATCGGCATGTCGTCGTTTCGCGCGAGATGGACGCCCCATCCCGTTGCGCCACACGGTTGGCAACGTCGACGCCAGCACGTCGATGTTGAGAGCAAATGCGCAAACGTTGTGCCGATTCCTGCAGGTGGGATGGTAACACGTACACAAGATAGTTGCAGGGTGAAAGCGAGACATATATTGGGATGCTAGATGGTGAAGCTGGTTTTGAACAACTAGCGGCGTGTTCATGTCGCCTGCGCGACCAAGCACAGTCAACGTGCCAGAGGATTCAGAACTGCCGTGGACGCAGGCAACCTCCACCAACACTTTCCCATCGAAGCAAAATCGTTGTCACGAAATGCAGCCCATGGCTAATATAAGCTGCTGTCTTCGGAGCGCAGCAAATACGCGTGGCCACGTCTCAAATGAAAGGCATGACAGCGTATAGGGCAACATGCGTGTTGCCAAATAAGCGTGTCCTACCAGCCGAGTTGATGTGACACCTTACGGTGTTTTGTTCCAGACTGCAGTGCCGACCGCTTATCCAAGAGCGCTGTAGATCGTGCCTCCGAAGCTGCCCACACGGCCACGCGTGCACCCAGGCATTGCCATATGAGGTGCTGGCGGCTGACATATGTGGGATGGTTGCGCACCACATGTTTGAGGATTCTGGTGCACCATCGTAGCAGGCGTGCAAAAACGTAGCGAACGAATGCTCGTTGGGCACGGGATATCCGCCTTCGGGGTACCCCTCTCACGACTGCAACTCCTGAGTTTCGGGCTGCATATTATCAGCTCGTGCAAGCGAAAACAGAACTTTCATGTGTCACAGCTGGGCACAGCTGATGCGGATTTAGCAAACAAAGCCGTTTGCGTTGACGTCGGCACTGCCGCCAGTGGGGACGCCTCTACGAGATTCATCGATAATGGAAGTTTGGGGATGTGACAGATCCATTTCCCTTTTCCTTTTCACACAGAACTAGCGAACGCAAGCTCTACGCAATCCCATTGAGGAGGACACCCAAGGTCTCGACGAAACCCAGTCCACTCGATGACGACTGCGATCGCGGATGATGAAGCTATCGCGCGATAGTCCATGCCAATGGCTACAATCCCCCTGCCTCCTCTTCCACAGCGGAAGCTGCATCACAGTTGCAGATTGTTGCGTGGTGTGCCGATAGATGCGGCAGAATTATTGCGAAGGCCTTACGGCCGGTGCCGCCGACCTTGAAGGGGGACGACGACGACGACGGTGGCGGCGGCGGCGACGATGACGATGCGGACGTGGGCCAGAGTCCTTTGGGGATGCTTCTTGGGGTCTGTTCGGCACGCTCTCGGGGGCCTCTGGGGAGGAACTTTGGGGCCTCTTGGGCGCCTCTTGGGGCCTTTTGGGAGCCTCTTGGGGGCTTCTTCGGGCTTCCTGGGGGCCTCTTGTGGGCCTCTTGGGGCCTCTTGGGAACCTCTTGGCGCCTCCTGGGAGCCTCTCGGGGCCAAGGGCTCGAAATGTCCGTTCGGGTCCCCCGTCTAGGCATGCTCTTGGAGCCGTCTTGGGGGCCTCTTGGGCAGTCTTGGAGGCGTTTTGGGCTGTCTTTGGTTCCTCTTGTGCTGCTTTGGAGCTTTCCTGGAGGCCTCTAGGGCCGACTTGGGGTGATCTTAGGAGCCTCTTGGGCCATCTTGGAGCGGCGGGAAGCGGAAAAGGCGAGAACGTTCAAATCCTTCAAACATTTATGGAACGTTTATGAATTTTGCCTCCTTGGGCCCTCTCGGGAGTGCTCTTGGAGGCCTCTTGGGGCGTCTTGGAGGCCTGCTTGGCAGTCTGGAGGGCATTGAAGACATTTGGACCGATCGTTTGGCGATTTGGGAGCCCCTTTGGACCGTCTTGGTGACCTGCACTCTTGGCTTGTCTTGATCTTTTTGAGGCCCCAGGACCTCCAGGGGGGATGCGTATCTGACCCCCCCCGCCCCCCAGGAATCCCCCCCTCCCGACGGGGGAGGGATCAACGGGAAGAGGCTTTCTTTCGACTCGACTCGATTACGACATTGCTAGATTTTTCACTCGCTGACATGCTCAAGGAGGAGGGTGAGGAGACGACGGAGACGAAGACTGAAGGAGACGACGACTTGGACAGACAAGCCCCTCACACACGCCGACAGGGTCGGCGGATTCCCCTTGCCTCCTCTTCCACAGCGGCAGCGGGAGCCACATCACAGTTGCAGACGATTGCATGGTGTGCCGATAGCTGCGGCATAATAATTTGCGCCACCCCCAGTCTCACCGATGCGCGGAAATTCTTGGCACCAGTGTCCGCGTTTTACCACATGCTGGTCTCAGCATTCTTGGAGCGATTCATGATGCTGCCCGACACGGGGGACCGCCGACCGCACGGGCCAAACGGGGCCTCGGGCGCCGCATCCCGCGCAGCAGGATGCCATCGCGCAGCTCCCCACGCCGACTGCGAGGTCCCCTTGTCTTTGGCTTCCCTCCCCAGGCGCACAGGAATGGTTCGAGGGGGCATCAGCGTCCGGGAGGAGAGAGGTGGAAGAGGAAGAGGCGGATCAGGTTGAGGATGGGGAGGGGTGGGAGACGAAGCGAGACCATAATGAGGGCATCGTGAGGAGGAAGAGGAGGAGGAGGAGGAGAAGGAGGAGGAGGAGGAGGAGGAGGAGAAGGAGGAGGAGGATGGGGAGAGGAGGAGGAAAAAGGAGGAGGAGGAGGAGGAGGAGGAGGAGGAGGAGGAGGAGGAGGAGGAGGGGGAAGGGAAGGGGAGGAGGAGGAGGAGGAGGGGGAGGGGGAAGGGAGGAGGAGGAGGAGGAGGAGGAGGAGGAGGAGAGGAGGAGGAGGAGGAGGAGGAGGAGGAGGAGGGAGGAGGAGGAGGAGGAGGAGGAGGAGGGGAGGAGGAGGAGGAGGAGGAGGAGGAGGAGAGGAGGGGGGAGGGGGAGGGGGAGGGGGAGGTAGGAGGAGGAGGAGGGGGAGGAGGAGGAGGAGCGGGATGTGGACGGAAACGCACGGGACCAAGCGGGGCTGGGCCCGATCGGACCGGGCGCCCAGGCGGCATCCGCTGCTTCCGCCTGTCCATGCTGGACATTTACCAGGAGCGCGAGTGGAGAGGGGCCCCAGCAGCCAAGAAGCTTATGGGCAGGGGGAGGGGGACAGGGGGGAGCTGCCGGCAGCCAGGCAGCGGCCAAAGAGCAAGCGAGAAGACAGGTGCAGCTTCTCGTCGGCCGTGTGGCTGCCAGCCTCCTCTCCCTCCTCCCCTGTCTCCTCCCCCTCCTCCTTTCCTCCCCCTTCTTCTGTCTCCTGTTTCCTCTCCTCGTCCTCGTCGTCATCCATCGCGCCCCCCCGCCCGCCCCCCCTGCGTAAGCGCCTCTGGACCTCCTAGAAGCCCCCATGATCCGCTTAATCTTGGTAGAGAAATACCTCCCTCCCCTCCGCACCCTCCTGCTGCCCGTCGAGCTCGCGATTGGGCCCTGACCGCTCGATGGGCCAGAAGTGCCGTGGAGAGGAAGACCCTGCGGGGCACCCTACAACGGCGCCCTGGAGCTCTCGACCTGTGTTGGGCTCTTGTTTTGCATCGAGCGCTGTGGTCTCCATCATCCTTTCCTCCTCATCTTCTCCTCCTGACTCCTGCGTCCTGCTTCATTATCAGCCCGACCGTGTTGGGTTCTCGTTCAGAGAAGAGCATTGCGGTCGCGTCTCCTTCTCTTCTCCTTCTCCTTCTCGTTTTCCTTCTCCTTTTCCTTTTCCTTTTCCTCCTCCTCCTCCTCCTCCTCCTCACTCTTCCCGCTTCCTGGCCTGCCTTCCCCGTGCCTTCCCCGCAGGGGGGCTGCGAGCTGCGCACCTCTCTCCGCTGTCGTTGGCTGCTGGGAGGCCCGGCGCGCAGTGCACGGCTTGCGCAGACCCCTCGGAGACCTCGCGGCTCCCTCGGGGGGCCGCGGAGGGCGCAGCCGTCGCCACGCTTCGCGGGCTCTCCGGGGAGGCACGCCTGCGTGGAGGGCAGGGCAGTGCAGATCCTCGGAGACTTCGCGGCTCCTTTCGGGGTTTGTGTGGGGGGGGGGGGCTGCGGACGTCGCAATCGCAACCATTTCAGTTTTTTGTTTGTTTGTTTTTTTCTATATTTTTTGTCGGGGGCACAGCTGGGTGCAGGGCGACGCAGGCCAATGGAGACCTCGCGGCCCTCGCGGGGGCTGCGAGCGGCACAACTGGCGCCGCTTTCTCTGGCTGCTGGGCGGTACGGCCGAGTGCAGGGCGGCGCAGATCACTCGAGACCTCGCGGCCACCCCAGGGGCTGCGAACTGCGCAACCGTCGCCACTTTCGCTGACTCATTGGGAGTGAGGGCTGAGTGCAGCTGCATGGCGCTGGGCAGAAAGATGCTGACGACTTGGACGCTCTCTGTCTGCACCTGTACGTTCTGCTCTCTACAGTGCGGCGACGTCCGAAAGCCTCCTCGTTATCCGCGCCTCAGGTGTGGGCTTTTTGTCCTGCGGCCCCACTGGCGGACCTGGCCGCGCGCCTTTCTCGACCTTCCAGTGCCCGCACGGATAACTAGAGGACACAGTTCGCGAGGACGACACACAAGCTCGGCCCTGCTAGTCTCTTCTGGGTCTGAAGGGAGGAGGGCCGCTGGCGAGTTTTGGGCGAGCGTGCGCATTGGCCGTTCATTCGGTGACACGTCGGCGATGCCTGCAAGCAAACTGGTTGCGCGGCGTGGTGGCACCACACAGAGCAGAGCGCCGGAACGCCAAGTGGCGCATGGGAGCGTCCTTCGCCGCCCACGCTCCCCCCTCCCCAAGGGCCTGTCGCCCGCAGCAGCAGCGGTACACCGAGCAGCTGTAGCGCCTTGCTTCCTCCTCCTGCAGATGCCTTCTCCTCCTGCTGTCCTCGGTCGTGTGCTCCCTGGCGTGCGTGTCGTCGCCACGACTTGTGTGCAGTCTGAGGTGCGTCGCTGCGAGCGCGAATGGGGGGAGGGGGGTGGTGGAGCGCGTGGCTCGACGTTGTTCGGCGATGCGTTCAAGAATGCCGTTTATCTTTCGTCGTCTTCTATGTATTCATCGCTCCGAGTGGTCGCCGCCTCGCTTGCAGATTGGGCACGTGCCGGGTGCTTCTGTTGGTGACAGCCCCAGCGCCGAGAAACGAACACACCCAAGAACCGACTGCGGCGAGAACGCCCGCCGTGATTTGTGTAGGCAGACGCTGGAGTTCAGGGCCCCCCTCCTCTTCTTCCCTCCTCCCCTTCCCCCTCCTCCTCATCAGCCTCATCTGTCCCTTGAACATGGAGACCCTGCCGAGTGCTATGCTCGACGGCTGCCAGGCTGATGAGCCAGACGGCTGCGGCTTCCGTGGCAGAGGGGATGCAATGGCAAAGATCTTCTTTGGATGCAGCAGTAGAAACCCATGCCAAGAAACACCCTGCTTGCTCCCAGGGTGCCCTGGGTTTCTCGGACTTCATTGATTTGCGATGGAAAGCGTGACGTGCCCACACCAAAAATCAATAGGCGTCCTGGGGTCTCAGGTTTTTTTGTGTGGAAGGTTCTTTGTGGTCGAGCTCCAACTGTAGGGTTCCTCCCCCTCCTCCTCCCCCTCCTCCTCCTCCTCCTCCTCCGTCTGCCCAGGCGCCCGACGTCGTGTTTTCTTCACGACGCGTACGCCCGAAGGTCTTGGCCCCTTCCCCCGGAGGTTGGTCTCTCATCCCGAGGCGTTCTGCTGACGACCCCGGGGCCAGGCGAGGGCCCCCCCCCCCCAGGGGGCACAACAACCAACCGAACCCTCTCGTCGTGACACTGCCGCCACGCGGGGAGGTCTGGGCATCTTCGGCGGAGCGCTTGGTTGCTACACTGCGCCCCCCCCCCCTCCACCGCGGTGCCGCCGGCGCTGGTTTGGCCGGCCCAGGTTGCCTACTCTACATCTCTCAGTGCAGAAGTGCAACTGGGCGACGGACTGACTGCAGTACAGCCGAGGAGGCCAGACGAGCAGAGCACCTTCGAGAGTGTCAGGTTCAGCTTTCGTTAGCCTGTAGCCGCCATGGACGCAATAGCGCCAAGTCCGTAACTCACCCCTCGTCCCTCGTCCTTCCTTCCTCCTTCCTCCTCCTTCCTCCTTCTCCTCCTTCCTCCTTCCTCCTTTTCCTACTTCCTCCTTCATAAGCATGCAGCCGGTGCGCTCCCCGCTCCACCAGCTTCCCAGCATGACGCAGAGTGCCCCGCCTGGGCACCCTGGGGGTACGGCCAGGCTCGTATGCAAGGACCTGGCCATGCTTCCACACCTGTGACGCAGGAGCGCAGACATGCAGCAGAGACCCCAACACTGCCACCAACCATGCTTTACCTTCTGTGCCTCCTCCATGATCAAAGGACCGGGTCAGGCGGAGGGGTGCCCTCGGACTCTAAGGCGGCGCGGACTTCGGCCGAGCTGGGCGTCTCGCAGTCGGCCTCCCGCACATTGCGGAAGCTCTTCGATGATTGTCGATGGAGTTCTTTGGGGGACGCTCGGCCTTCTCCTCCCTTCTACCCCCACTCCCCTCCCATCTTCCTTCGCTTCGGAGGGGCAGGGGGGGCGTGTTGGGTAAGGGGAGCCATATCTTTCGGTCTTCCCTCCTTTTTGGGAGTGGGAGCCTCCGTACCCTCATCTGTAACCAGACTGCTGTATTGCCGCGTCCGCCGTCGCGGCCACTGGAGACAGCGCCTGCCCTGTGCCTGTGACGGCTGCTCAGAGTGGCGAGGCGCAACTGCGTGAGGCTCACACGTTGGGCCTTCCGGCCTGAGTTTTGCAGGCCGCTCTGCCACAACGGCGGCGCGTGCACGACCGAGGACCCTCGGCATATGGTGCAAGAGTGCCCTTGCACCAGGCGTCGGGGGGCAGATCATACGCCTAGACCTCGCAAGGGTTGACTCCTAGAACCCGCCTCCGTGCGCGTGAGCAGCGAGTCAGTGATGTGGCCAGGCGCCTGCCGACTTCTGCTCCCCACGGGGCTTCTGGTGTGAGGCTGGCGTGGGCGGAGTGAGTGAGAAGGTCCGTCGGGTGGACGACCGAAGGCTGTATCGCCGCGGGTGTGTGCCAGGTCAGGGGCTCCTGTGCCAAGTCCAGGGTGCACTCGCGTGTCAGGAAACAGCCCAATCGGCATACACGCGTGTGTCAGGGTGCACGAGCGTGTCAGGGTACACGCGCGCATGGTAGGGCATTTGAGATTTCTGCTTTCGTTTTCGAGTGTTGGTATCTCCCCCCCTCGTCGGTCTTCTGCGCGTCGTCCTCACGGCAGCGGCCGTGCCGATCCTTCTGGACTGGCCCGCCGCCGCCGCCTCCCTCCCTCCTCCGTCCTCCCCCCTCCTCCTGCCGAGCCGTCTTGTGTCTCCGGGAGCTGCGGCCCCTGGCCGTTGCAAGCGACGGCTCCACCTCGTGGCACCTGTTGGCCCGGACGCCTCGGCGGACAATCCCCCCCCTCCCCCCTCCCTCCCCAGCGCCCTCCCTCCACGGGAGGGGGGGGGAGTGAGGACGAGAAGGGAGGGAGGGACCTCCTCCTCCTCCTCCGCCTCCCTCCTCCTCCTCCTCCTCCTCACTCCTCCTCCTCCTCCTGCCTCCCCCACTACCTCCTTCCTCTCCCCCTCCTCCTCCTCCTCCTCCTTACTCCTCCTCCTCCTCTCCTCCTCCCTCCTCCTCCTCCTCCTCCCCTCCACTCTTTCCTCCTCCTCCTCCTCCTCCTCCTCCCCCTCCTCCTTCTCCTCCTGGGGTGGGCCCCTGCCCCTCCGCGGCCGCGTGTCCGTCCGGCGCTTTTGGGAACGGGAGCCGGCGCACTCTCTACCCCGCGGCCCCTCGCACGGGACAGCTCTCCCGGACGCGGCGCGCGGAGCGCGGCCACTCCCGGGGGGAAGAGGGGGTGCCTTCCGCCCTTTTTCGTCCTCCTTGGTTTTTTTCCTCCTTTTTTTGGGGTTTCCCGCGCGTTGTCCTCGCGGCAGCGGCCCCGCGGATCCCCCCCCCCCCGGGGGCGCCCCAGCACTGCGGGCGTGATCCAGTCGTTGCGTGGGCCTGCCGCCCGCCCTCCCATCTCCTCCGCCCTGCTCCTCCTGCCTCCTCCTCCTTATTCTCCCTCTCCTCCTCCCCCTTCTCCTCCTTCTCCTCCCTCCCTTCCGACATTCCGACGCCGTGCTTCCTTCCCCTCCCTCTCGTTTCCCTCTTCCTCCTCCCATTCCTCCACCTCCACCTCTTATTCCTCCTCATCCCCTTCTCATCCTCCTCCTCCTCCCTCGCATGCTGCCTCCTCCTCCAACTTCTGCCTCTCATGCTCCCTCTTCCTTCCTCCCTTTCCTCTCCAGGGCACAACGTCACTTCACTGCCATCGTCCGCCGCCGCCTCTCCCTCCTCCTCCTACTCTTCCTCCTCCGCCTCCTCCTCCTCTTTCCCCTTCGATCGACTTTCTGAGCGTCTCTGTTTTTTCTTGGGGGGGGCCCAGAGGCCCCAAAGGACCTCGGGAGGCCGTCCTCCTCCCTGTCTTCGTCAGCAAGGCTCGGCGCCATGGCGTGCTCATGAGATGTGGCCTGCCCTTGGGGCAAATGTTGCTATAGTGCACTGCCCACTGGCATCAAAAAACTTCTGGAGACCTCTTCAGGTCTCTCTCTCTCTCTCTCTCCCTCTCTCTCTTTCTCCGTCTTCCCCTCCTCCTTTCAGCCCTCCTCTGCTTTTTAGCGACCATCAGGAGACAGCTCAGATGATCGCTGGTCAGTTTGAAAACCGATCAGTCTTCCTTCCCATAGAGAGAGGCTCCTGAGGGTAAAATAATAGTTGGATGCCCCCCTTGAGATTTTCTTCATGTCAACTTTTCCCGTGGGTGTGGGCTCTTTGCAGCCCGCGTGTATGAGCGATCTGGGTTGAGCGTCTGCCGTTCTCCGAACGAAGAAACGTGTCTTCGTTTAAGAGAATCACGTCGCGAGATGGTTCAACGCAGTGGGCCCAATTGAGGAGAAGGAGGCTGAGGAGGTCGGAGGGTCGTGCAACTCAAATGTCAAGACGGCAGCACTCCGCAATGGTGTAGAAGCCAGAGGCTTTCCTCCACCTGTTGGCTCCGTTGTGCAGCTTTAGTTCTTCCTTCTTCCTTCCGCCTCCTCCTGCTCCTCCTCCTTTTTCCAGCCCGGGTCCGGGGCGATCGTGTTTTTGTCTCCGCTACGCTCTGCATTGCGGTCGGCTGCGATTGTGTGTCATTTAAGTGCAGTTGGGCGCCACAAGGGCTTCACACAATGCATGCTGTACAATTTTGATAGCGCTGCGAGTGGTTTCGAATTCTGTCCGCTTCGATCCTCTCTGCTTTCCTCCTTCTTCTCCCCCCCCCCCAGAAAAAAGGGTTGGACACAAAAACACTTCTACTCCCTCACGGGCTCGCCGATCGATCGCTCATCGATCGATGTTTGCCTGTGTTCTGCGAGCCCCAGGAGCGGTTGCGAGACTTGCTCTGCCCCGACAGCAGAGCGGACCTCAAGGTGATGGAGGAGCGCTCTCCCTGCTGCCGATGGTGCTGCTGCTCCTCCTCTGCACTCTTTTTCTTTCACTCTTCCTCCTTTTCTTCTTCCTGGAGACTCCGCTTTTTTGTTTCTTTTTGTTTCTCGAAGGCCGAAGACTAATAACATTAACCATGAACATAAGAAGTGTGCGAGTCATAACAAGAGTACTTAACACAGTAGCAAGCATAAGAGGAATCAAACTACTACTACTACTACTACTACTACTACTACTACTACTACTACTACTACTACTACTTTACTACTACTACTACTACTACTACTACTACTACTACTACTACTACTACTACTACTACTACTACTACTACTACTACTA